GCGCAAAACGTACGAATGTAACCTAGGAGGAGGAGGAAGAGAGCCGGGATCCATGCTAAAGGATAAAGGCTAACCCCTCCAGACCAGCAGAACCATCGCTCCTACTCTCCAATGTCTGCTCCCCCCACAACCAGCTGGACGAGCTACCCGCAGAGAGTGGAAAGACTGCTGTGTGTTTGCTTTAACAGAAACATGGCTCCATAACACCATCCCAGACGGACATACAGCTAAAGGGGACGACATTATTCCAGGCGGACAGACAGACAGACAGCTCTGGGCAGCATCTGCAGCTTCACCATCATCACACCATCATGTGTGTCTTTGTGTCCCTGAAGACCGACCAGGACCTGAAGAGGTTCACCATGTTCAACGAATGGCGGCACGCATGGATGCAGCGGCTCCTCCAGGAGACAGCGACAGTGAACGTTTAGTGTCTTGTCTATCCCAGACATGCATTCCGCAAAACTTGCTGGTTGAATAATCCTGACGAAACGCTCTCTCATCTTGCCTGTACTACTGTGTATGTACAGCGAAATGACAAAAAACTTGATTTGATTTAATTGGTTTGAAAACCTCAAACCTTGGATAGAGGTTAGCATTTGTTGTACTGTACATGACTGCATTAGTGTTGTGCTTAAGATAGAAGTCGTCTGTCCAGATAGAGGAATTTTATCCAGGAAACAATAAAGAAAGTATTTTTATTTTCAAATTACAAACAGAAATCATTATAAAGTCACTTGAAGCAAATGAGGACACAGAAGTAAAATAGAAACCAAAGCCGGCATCAGACTGAACTGAGAGAAATCATTATTCAGTACCTCTCAACGCTGGTTTACTGGTAAGGATCTGTGGTCTTTAATCAATTAACTGTCGCTTTCTACTGTTTCTGCGAAAGAGCCAGATCCGTCTGGTAAATACAATGCTCATGAGACGACTTCTCCCAGTCATGCTCTTTTTTTTTTTTTTCAGTTTAGCTTAATGTGCTTCAAATTAGATTTTCTCTTCCTCAAAATGAAGAAAAGTACATGACTAAATCTGGCCGAAACAACACTGTCAGACTTGTATCCATTCTCCGCAAGCGTCCTCAAGATCTAATTTTCGATTTGATTGTTCCGCTTGATTTTCCATGTTGTCCTTTGCAGTCGCAACTGACATCTGACAAACAATCTGTCACGGACGCTGAGGAGAAAACAATAAGATTATGAGCAATTTTACTCTTGTTGTTTAGTCTGCGTTTGAATAATTCCAACACATGCATGCACAGGTTGGAGAATCGTATAAAAATAGAGCTCAGTCGTGTATGAAAGTCACATCTCAGGTTGTGTAGGGACTCCTTTTTTTCTGTAAATGTGGAGGTTTTTGAGAAGGAAGATCAACACATTTTACTTTTGACAGTCTTTGTAATGGATAAACAGCTGCTCATTTGCACACAAAGGACATGAGCTTAAATTAGTTTTAGTTGCAGCCACCACACAAACCAAAGACATACTTCATTTAGTTGTTTTTTTTCCTTGTTAGCTATAGAATTACTTTTCTTAATTTCTTTTTAACTTTTTTTTTTTTGCAATTTAATGTTTGTTCTTACACGATACAGTGAAAACAGTGCACCCTGTGTTACATATTGTTCTACTCTTAAGATACTTTCAAAGTGCTGTTTTCCTCTGAAGCAGTTCAAGAACAATGCAAACACTGTCCGGGTTCACTGGGTTGGCTCACTTCACTTACGACGTCTTGAAAGACCTTCTCGATGTAAGAAAACTGAAAATGTCACACGTTGCTTTTGTCGCACTGCCGCATTCTTATCTCAGTGTTACTCGCGATAACCTGTTTTTCATTCTGACGCTAAAAGGAGACACAACAGGCCACGCTAATCCGTTTAGTTCTCATGCAGGGTGTCAGGCTATTAGAGGGTAACATCAGCAATGATTCAATGGCCTAAATATGTTATATTTACCGCAACTGGATGGCGACCGCCCGAAGCTTTTGTTTGTCATGTTTCATTCACGGCGAGTCGACGGCAAGAAAAGCCGCCCTTTGTTTGTCATTTATAAAGAATTCTTTGGAGGAGGGAAATCTTCCTTTTCACCTCGCCGCTGTCACTACAAGGATACAGGAAAACACATGCGGTTGTGTTATTCCACGACCTTAGCTGGAAATGAGAGGTTAAAAATGACAACAACAACAACAAAAAAGCTGTTAAGCAGCTCCGGTTAAGGGCTGGGAAGACTGAATTTATGGGATGCCACAGGGCTCCATTTCTACTTCTCTTAAATATAACGTCATGGGAATCTGTGCACATGAAACGCTGCTAATTTCACTGTCATCTAAGTTTAGTTTCAGCTGCTGTCAGTGCTGGGGATGGAGGCTGTTTTTAAAGGACTCACATTACTACACTGTTTTATTGGGCTTCTTGGAACGCGTGTACACTATTTGCAGTTTTGTTAAATCGCAAAGCTCATGCATACAATTAAACACAGATGCAAGCATAATACAAGGATGAATACATTATATATTATACCCATCACATTTTCATACAATGCGCAACAAATTTATTAGACCACCTGTCTAATTTGTTAAGCACATATATAGACCATCCAGCAACATGAAGTGCTTTAATGCACGCTCGGCTCTTGACGTGTTTCCATTTTCAACCAAAATGAGGAACTTCAAACTGAATTTTTATACCCAGATTTGAACCACTGGACTTCACTGAGAAGTCACAAATGAATCAAGCATAACATTCAGCCACTAAAACATTTTTTTCAGTTCAGGAATGCAAGTAAATAACAAGAATTCGATATATTATGTAAAGAAATAATGATGTGCTTCACTATTTTTTCAGTTTTTTTGTAAAATAGTGCATTTGAAAAGTCGTGGATAACAATAATAATGATACTTTAGCATTAAAAATATCATTTCGGTTGAAGAGCTTCTACATATTGGTGTAATCATCCCTACAGAAACAAAATTACCAATGCATAAACCTTCCATCTAATGAATTTGTTAAGCACTGTATATGCACATACATATATGCTGGCAAATCACACAGGGTGTCAACACTGGAGCTCTTGCAGTTCAAGTAGGAGTTGCCTCGTAAATGCTTCTCGCTGTGTGATGCAAACCAATTTGAAAAATATAGAGTTGTTACAGAATAATGCTGCATTCAGGCCCTGTGGGACAAAAGCTACAGGTACAGATTCCCACGCTTACAGATTGCCAGCTTTTCAGGCCTTTGGAATAATAGCTTTTGTAATTGAGATCTTGGCACCAGATATAAGTACCAATTTACTGACTAAATTAGTTGTGTTGAGCTGCAGTTGCTGCGGGTGTATTCAACGCGTGCGTGATGAAAATACTAATTTGGAGATAAGCTTACTGTGGTTGTTGAGATTTTTGTTTTTTTGTGCTTTTGTGACGCTTCAGTATTTTGAACTGTAATTGTAACAGCTATGAAATGAATATTATTTCAAACTGCTTTAAGCAATCGGAAAGGTAATTTTAGACCCCTGACTTTCCATGTGTGAGATCCACAGTGGTTCAGATCTATACTGTAATGATTAAGTGAGATGTAACCAGCAGCTGGAGTATTTCAATCAGCAATCAAGCCGATAAGAAGGAGGCAAATCAGCGCAATGAGCAGAAGCCCAAATGATTTAAATATCAGCGGCACAACTGTCCAATCAATTCTCAAATTGACAGACAACACTTTGGAGTGGATGGCGTGTAATGAAGCATGTTAGAAGCAATGTTGTTGGGCTCATAAGTCTAATGCTGAGACCAGAGTGCAGCGGATTCGCAGTAATGAAGCCTACAGGAGATAAAAGCAGCCTCGTCAGTTCTCTGCAAATCAAAGGAACAGACCTTTTCTTAACATCTTAGTTGAATAAAACATGATTTCCCACTTTAGTTTGTCGATGGTCTAATGACGTGGGAATCAGAGATGACACAATAAAAGGACAAGTCAGACTGGACCTCTAATCATTCAGCTCCACAAAACCTTTGATTTAGCACTTACCAGCAGAACTTCATGACATATTACCCCACAGCTGTAGCTCCAAACATGATTTTTTTACTCCCGAGGCAGCTTAACTTCATCATTTTTTGTACATTCATAATGACTCAGGTGCCTGCAGTGCAGATATGTGAACTTTTTGCTCCAAGTTGATGGATATCTCACTGTTTTGGTTTTTTGGCCCTCAGGTGTGCCGTCTCACTGCTCTCATTAACTTCTCAGTGGTTTCCAGCAGCAGCATCAGGCTGAAAAGCTCTGATAAGAACCTATTTTATGCTAATTCAGCAGCACCAAACTGCAGGCAGACAGAGGTAGCAACGATAAGACTGTAGTGTCTAATTATCAGGGTGCTTAAAGAGCAAAAGAGACATAAAATGACAAATAAATATTGCAAAAAGTTGACAAATTCCACCCTAAAGACCGCTGTTTTCCTTTTAAAGCATTTGTGAGCACAATTCAGTGTAAATACATGAATGTTCTTTTGGTAGCTAAAGTTCAATTCGCTGCATTAGCTCAGAAAGCCAACAGGTTCCCTGCAGTTTTTGTAACCTTTAAGTTTCTAAGTGAAGTTGACATTTTGCTTTTTACCACCTGCCTTCATTCCTCTTTAGGGAACCACATACATGTCTTAATATATTTTAAATACAATCATTCTTATGCTTGTAAGACTTCATAGACCTACTTTGAATGATTATTTTTTCCCTTTTTTCTTGTTTGTGACTCAAGATTTATGATTAAGAGCATGTAGTGTACATTTTACGTTAGATTAATTCCCCTCCTGATTACATGTTTCTGAAGCCGATGTGCATTAACTGGCTTCTGTACACTAATTCTTCTGCTAAACAACACTGTGCCTGAATACAGCTGCTTCATATTTACATCCCTGCTGAATCAAGCCACAGCAATCAGACGTAGAAGAAGCCACAGTGGTGTTTAAGAAGTGCAAATAGCGCTTTCTCAGTCTCTCTCCGTTTTTTTTCTCTTACAGGAATCATGTCGGCAACAGGGAACGGCTACGTTATTTATATGACCATCAAACGCAAGACCAAGTTGAAGCCTCCGGAGCTTATGACCGTTAATTTAGCCATCTTTGATTTCGGGATATCAGGTACGGTGAGCACAAGATGAGCTTTATTTATCCAGTTAAGAACAAAAATGTCCCCCATTGAAAGCCATTATAGCGGCTGTTTTTGATCATTGCATTATGAAATCATGCATTCTGTGTTATTAGGCTTTTACCCTGGAGCTTTGGCTTCAAAATGGTCATTTTTACCTTTTTCATTAGATTGTGTCATTTGTTTTGCATTTGAACAAACACATAAAGCCTGCAGAGGGATCAAAAACAGCTGTTGTAATGGGTTTCAATGGGGACATTTTTGTCTTTAAGGGTTACAAAGCATCAAAAAATAATAATGCATCAGTATCAGTGTTAGTCATTGACACATCCCACATCTCTTATTTTATTTTTTTATGTGATTTATTTGATGTTGTCGGTTCCCGTCTCGGTGGGGTCACCGGGATCTTTGTGCGTGGAGTTTGCATGTTCTCCTCATGCAGGGTGGGTTCTCTCCGGGTTCTCCAGCTTCCTCCCACAAGGTCCATAAACATGTTGAGGTTAATTGGTGATTCTAAATTGTCCGTAGGTGTGAATGTGAGTGTGCTTGGTTGTCTGTCTCTAAGTGTAGCCCTGTGATAGACTGGTGACCTGTCCAGGGTGTCCCCTGCCTTCACCCTAAGTCAGCTGGGATAGGCTATCATTTTTCTGGCATTGTTTTTGATGTAGACATTTATGTCCTTAAAGGCACCTCAGGGTTCAGCTGAGATGTTATTTATGTCTGGAGAATGTTGCTGCAGAAGTCGATTCAAGTTTCTTTGCTCTTTTGTTTGCACTTAATGCAGATAACACAGCTGGCGTCTCCTTTGGTCGAGCCATGAATATGATTCATTTTTTTATTACCACCGTGATAGTTAAAGTATAGCAGCATTGTATAATCTAAAACACAGACACATGGATGGGTCACATTTATGGAGAACACTGAACACTCATTCGTGTTGTTTGCTGAAACACTCAGTCTGCGTTTTCTCAGGTAAACACTGCAGCAGCACAGTTCTCCTGCTGCTTTAATGTGACAAAGAGGACATTTTATCTTTACTGTGACCTCAGCTGCTGCTATTATCTGGAAGAAGGCTGTTCTCTCTCATAGCTTGCAGTGGAAAGCATCAAGAGTTGTGTTTTCCAACAATGAAATTCGGCTAAATGTAATATTTTAATGCCATTTCGCCCGACATGTGTTTATTGTCGGCTGTCGGTAAACCGGCGGCGCTTCGGCTGCTCCAGATGAGCCACGTTTCCTTCGGAACAGCCTGGAGACAAACGTCTGTCAGTCTGGATGTCTTCTAAAGTTGTAAATGCCCTTCAAGATGACTTCAAGAAGTTTGATAGCTTGGGGAAGGTGGTGAGTTGCTCCTTCTGTTCCGTCTGCCTCCTATAAACTTGGCTTTCAGGTCAGAGCTGCACTGTTGTGAGACTTAAGGTCAATAAACCGTTGCTGCTTCTCGATGATGGCCACTGAATGCTGCGTGGCAAGTGACTTTTTTTTAGCGAGCAGGGTGCTTTTCATTATTCCAACGTGTCTCTACGGTTGGGCATGGAGAACTGGTTTCAAAAGCCCAAATTTCAAGGATTTCTAGAGAACGCTTAATTCTGGCTGTCAGGTCCTCGACACATTTCAGTCACACTAGGACTAAACGGTGGACTGCAAACACCTACAGCTCAGCTCCTGCTCTCCGTCAGCGCAGGTTTCGTGCGAGCTGAATGCCTGCGTGTCTTCTCATCTCTTAATGCGTTCGTGTTAATAAATCATGACATTATTCTCAGTTAGCCCACTCAGCCGTTGCTAAGCTGCTTGATTAGCAGGTCAACAGCACAAACTGTGTGATTGTCTCATAACGATCACCGTAATCGAGTAAACGCTGCTACGAAATGCTTTACAAAGACGGGATTGGAGGACAGTAAAACCAAAATTAACCCTATAATATTCAGGAAACCAGAAAAGAGACCACAATCACGGTTTCTTTAACTCATTGTGGGTTTCTGCTGCTGACATTTATCCATGATAAGCAACTCCTCTGTGAAGAATGGAGGAGGACACTCTGGTAAAATGACAGAACTTCTCTTCTGTGACAGTCAGCACACCCCGCTGACTGTCAGTCCTGCTTAGCGAGGCATGTTATAGCTAATTAAAGCGACTTTATTACCCCGTAGATCACCTACGTTTCTCTCACTCACTACGCTCGACACAACAAACCCGGTGGTCTTTGTCGCTGCCTTCATTAAAGGGGACATGCAGTCAGGTGTGTGGCTCTGCAACACGCTAACACAATTAAAATAGAATCATTACGATACAAACAATCATTCATCTCTCTCTCTCGCGGGATTTTTTTTTTCTTCCTGTCAGAGAGGATGTGCAAGACACAGCTGTGTTTCCTCACTTGAAGCTCCTTCAGAATCGAATATGGGACCCTGAAGATGATGCATAATGGTGGAAGCAATTTCCGGGGGCGCAAGAGACAGGAAGCAGAAGTTAGAATGATAAAAAGCACTTATCGTCTTTAGTTTTATGGATATCGCTCTGACATAGTCTAAAGCCACACTGAGAAGTCGGTTTTGAGCTCCGCAGAGTCGCATTAAACAAGTTCACCCAATTTCCTCCCGAGTCGCCGAATCTCTCGATAGCGCATCTGAAGCGCAGGACATCCCCATGTGATGCCTCAATTTCCTGCACGAAAGAAGCCACGCTATGAGGCTCTGGATCTGGTGTCATTTAGGCATTTTGCTAACACGCTCAAGTTGTTGCTCTCTGTCATCGATTCCACCTAAACTCAACTCAACTTTATTTATAAAGCACTTTAACGCAACAAAAGTTGAGACAAAGTGCTGAACACAAAATATAAAACCATTTCAAAACATCTAAGACTCAAAATACAATAAAAGTATAATAATAAAATCACTGAAAAAGAACAGTAAGAACTATAAAACAATAAAACCGTTATTCCAGTCCGACAGCACATCAACGCAGCTGCTCAAATCCATCTTGTGGCTTGTAGTTTTCAAAATAAGCTGCAGCTCAGTCACTTTAAACTACTAATTGACACCCCCGAGGTGAACCGCACGGCGAGGCTCCGTCAGTTTCAGCAGCGTTGTCATTGAGGCGACAGAAAACGCACTCTCAGGATTTGTTGCGCTGCTATTCGTAAATGTCATCAGATAACTCAATGATTCGCTTCTACACTGTATTCGCAGGCAGGCTGACATTTAAAAAAAAACTATTTCTTTTCTCTCGTGCCTGCAGCCTGTGACGTTTCCTGAGCCGTCCTTGGATAAATGGCTTCCCTACTCTCGCTGCAGCTCATCCATCCTCTCCCTCACACCTGGCATGCTGCCTAATGCGTGCTGTATGAGGTGATTTTCTCACCTCATACCGAAACTGCACTTTTTATGAAGCTGTTTCAGTTCTTTTGATTTTTAAAAAGAGATGTTGTGGTGTCATGTGATTGAATCGGATTGCTGTGCACGGAGACGAAATGTTCGATGGAGTTTGGATGCAGCTTCAATTTGGAAACCTTGTTAGATGAGTAAATTAGCAGCGCAAAAAATATAATAACTTGCTGGTCAGATTCATAACAAATTCCAAACATGTGCGCGGACCTCTGCAGCAGAGACTGTTTGAATAGACTGCTTGCTTGCGGATGTGTGTAAACTAGAAGAAAAGACAAGACTGCGTATCTGTGCGTCCCTTTTGAACATCTGGTTAGACTGCAGTTTGAACATGTCCGACTTTGATACATCTTGAATGACTCTTCTGCTTTTACATTTGCATTCATCTTTGTTTATGAGCCACATTGAGATTTTGAGTCTGAAAAACGGATGAAAAGTGTGCTGGTTACATACTCAGAGGTGCAAAACATGGGAAGAGGGAATGTAGCAGTGGTATAAATACACCTCATTTATCAGCTCAGACTGCAGAGCCTTTACATAAGCACCGGCTGCCGGCCAAAACACACATTTAAATCTACTTTATTGAATTAATTTTACGACCACAAGCCTCCTCCTCCAAACAATGTGAGCGTGATGAGAGAGAGATGTGCCGGTCTGCATCAGCGCCGCCCCCACATGCTATAATCCATAATTGATGACAAAACACATTAGGACTGGCGTGGACGGCACAGACGGGGGACGTCCTCATTAGACAGGCCACTCTACAAACGTGCAGCAAGTTTACAAATGCACAGCAAGCTTTGAAAAGTCCACTCAAAGAGCTGCATTTTACATAAACTCCACAGAAGTTTATGGGCCGAATGCATGCAAAAGTAGGACAAAACTGTAAATAATGTCCACATTAATAAATCTGTACTTTAACAGATTTGAACACAATTTATTTATTTTTTTACTGTATTCAAGCCATTAAAAGCACGTTATTTTACAGAATGTTGCTGTTATTTAAAGAAAAATGATGCATATTAAGGACGGATTCAAGTGTTAGTTTAAAGATTGTTCCTGTTTTGTTAAATTACAGATAGTATCCAGTAAAATCCTAGAAAAAATATTTAGAAAAACTTCAATGTTGAAGTAGAAAAGCAGAGAAAAGCTGTAAATAATGCCCACATCAAAAATCTTTATTGTTACAAATAGTAATAATTAAATGAATGACCATAAAATAGCATCGTTTTACTGTAATTTAATCAGGTAAAACTAGCATTATTTAACAGATATTTGCAGATAATTTTACAGTATTTGAGATTTACAGCAGTCTGTTGCTGCTTCGACACCCCCACCTCACTTAAATAGCTTTTTTTTTTTTTAAATCATTGAATAATAGAGATTTTATGCTTCCTCTGAAACGATGCATAAACCGTCTTGGTAACACTAAAGCGAAAGTGTCAGTAAATGAATAAAACAAAAATGGCTCTTCGTCACCAAAGACAGGACCAGACAGGAGTGGGTTAAGTTTAAAATATTAATGGTTTTGTTCAGACTTTGTTAGCTCTACTCTGACACTAATTCTACAACATGTCCACTTGGGAACTCATTAAAATGTGCAGTGATTA